TTACAGATAAGAAAAATAAGGATCTGCATACCGGGGCATTTGTTCATTTACACCGGGCTTTACAGAAACTCCGGGTGAGGTAAAATTTCAAGAAAATTCAATCAAAATCTTTGACGGCTTTTCGACAAACGACGTAATAGCTATTAGCACATATACATATAATATACAATTCACATGATTATCGAAGTACAACTGCCATCGCCTCTTTTAACAACACTGCTTTAACACTATCAGGAAACAACATTTTTAAGAGTTTTGTGATATGATCTAACCAACGAGTAGGCACGTAATAGTTATACCATAGCGGTTGTTCAGATGTCAGAGTATGAATATGTTATTAACCATATTCCATATGTTCGTTCTTCCTGATAGTTGTCAAATATTATATATATACATATACTATATATATATATAGGTCAACAACATAATACTTTAAGCATTCATAACAGAATCATTAAAACACTTTGCGTCCTATATGGTCTATGTCTTGTTAAGTTTATAAAACTAATCCGGGAGATTTGCCGGATGTCTTAACGATGGCACCACAGGGCAATTAGTGGCTTGATATATATCACAATTTCTACCGCATGTTCGCATGAGCTCATAAAAATCCGATCCCTTTAGCGCCATAAACGGCAAAGTAAGCAACGAAACGCCTATTTAGCTGGTTTATACCTTCCCACTTGTTGTTCCTCATCACACCCAAAACAAAGAAATCTTCGCGAAATTTTGCTTCCACTTCCTAAGGATGGCCTTAGAAGCTTCTATTCTATACTGTGAGCTCAAAGCGACTCCGTAAGTTCTCGGATATAGTGGCGAACTAGCTAAGAAACACGCGAGGTGATTTTGAGTCTTTATGTATAGTCTCAGTGCCATTTCGAGGAAAAAGGCTTTGACGCGATTTAATTGTTAGAAGCTCTACACTATAAAATCCTTTCAAATAACCCGTATCCCTTATGTTGCGACTAGAGTCACCTTAAAATTAAACAAGTTAAAAGAACTTGAAAAGAGTAAAGATAAGACGATTTCACTGCTCATTTAACTGCCTTTTTGTATCTTTCAACGCGCGCGATGAAACTTTACCGTTGGTGGAGAAGGGCAACTCAGGGTATAGAAACTAATTAAGATAAGTAAGAGGTAGTTTGGCGAGGTACAAAGTATCAGAGGCCATTGTCCAGTTTCCCCCTCTAATCTTCATCGCCTTTATCTTAATCGACTAAATAACCAGTCCCAAATATGTCGCTGTTATTTGAAGCCGGAATAAAGTTTAATGCACCTACAGCCTGTTTGACCCATATATAATTAAATCACTCGCGTACAAGGTGACTTCAGTTAGCCCTCTTATTTAATCAGAAAAACCCTTTAGGAAGATAGAGAATGAAAGTGGGCTTAATTTATGCCTCCTGAGTCAGGCTACTTGCCTGTGTGAAGGGTGGGAATTCGGTTACTCTGTCGTTGATGGCATTTCTGCCCTCCTGAAGAATCGCAGCGGGAAGAATGAGCACATTTACAGGAATACCTATCTTAGCCAATATAAGGATATCCTTGTCCTCGGGCTCCTAGTCGAAGATTGTATTGAAATCGACAAACACCGCCTTCAGCGGATTGAGCAAAGTGACAAATACTCTCTTGACGTCGACCATCAGGCTCCTGCAGGTAAGTTTTACGGAGCATTTTTTCCGCAACTCATGTTGCTCTCTCTACATGGCGTGTGCACTTTCTAGACGAATTCTAGCTGTTCCTGAATTAAAAAAACACTGTTCTTCATTATTATGCTTGGGTATTCCTTTCCTTTAGGAATCATCAACAGAGTAGCATCTCTCTACTGAACTGAGTGTGTATTAGTACATAAACATTCACTAAATAGTGCCGTCTAGCACGGTGCTAAAACAATGATGCATGTAAAATGCTCGTTGTAGACCCTGTTTGGACCGGCAACTGTCTCGTTGCGTTAATTTCCCAGATTTTGTTTTAATTCTTGCATTGCGAGGTATTCTTGAAGGACATCATGTTGTACTGAGATCCTTTTTTTCTATGTTGCGGCGAAAAAGAGCATTGCGCGTTACATCGTATCCCTTGACGCAAAAATCTCTGAGAAGTTATTTATGAGGGCTAAGAAGCTCATCGGACAAGCCACCGAGCTACTGTGACGCGTTAACCGCTTGTATGGTTGATATTCCGCATCAGCAATCAAACGGACCTCCCACTGTTCGAAGTATTGTTGCCTTTGTGACGTATAGGTTTTTCGATATATCGATTGAGAAACAGAGCTTAATGTGTAGAATTCGGGCTGTATCTTGGCCATAAATCTGAAAGCCATCTGGGATCTACGGGCGAGGCTGCAGGTCTAGTTAGATTAAGGCCTACGCTTCCGGAAGCGGGACAAAGGAGCAGTTCCGTAGGCTAGAGAATTTCAAGCAGATACTACACATAAGTTTCGATATTTATCACGTCCGGTGCAAAGAGAGCTTCGTGGGTGCGTTCCAGGAGCGTGTCTACATTTATGCGTCGTGATGAAGAAAATGCAACTTGGACGGTGAGGTCTATTTCACAGCTGTATAAACACGAACGTTTGCGAGCTCTGTCAATTAATGATTTTTACCTTGACACCTTATTCTATCAATTTTTCGTATTCGGTTGCATTTATCATAAATAAATCGATTTACTAAACTCCCTGTATGTCCTGTATATGTAATCCAATGTCTAAGTGGGATTGATTACCCAGCAACTGTAGCCCTCGAGAACAGAAAAGCAGTAAGGTAAAAAGAGCTAGTTGTCCGAGTCTTTGTTAGCAGAGGCATGCCCATACTGTTCAGGATTCTCGAGGAGAAAAACATCAGAATTATAATTCCTCTTTCAGGTCCACGGTGTAATTCTTAACCTGTCTTCAAGATCCGGCCTTGCTACATGCTCCGTGATTATCCTCACGAGCGAATGCGATAATTCGAGATGTCGCGTATTAGGGTCAGTCCTCCTGTAGATTTATAAGGAAGTATTTGAGGCCGATGCTGTAAATTACAAATCTGTGCCATCTTTAAAAACATTTTGGTAATTTTTCTTCTGTAATAGATATAATCTTCTTGACTTAGCACAACACGGTTTCGTCATAGACCGATCTTCTTCTACAAGACTGTTGGAGCTGTATCAAAACTTGTACATCAATGCGCATGCACATTTTCAATGTGCATATTTTTTTTATCAGTAAGGTGTTTTTGATAAAATATATTGAAATCACCCGCGACACCATTCTCTTATGCATCAAAGCGCTCGTATCAGATCGATGTTAACAATAATATACGTCAGTCTTAACCCTCAACTACTGGCATTCTTCTAAGCAGCTGCGTTCTTTAAATGTAACACAATTTTTTTAAGCATACACCGATATGATGTATGCTTAAAATTTATTATACAATTGTGAATCGTCATTTCTATACAATACTGCAATACACCGTAGATGATATCGTCCGCTTATGTGATGGTAACGGGATACTACTTTTAAACTAAACGTGTATAGTAAAATAAACTATGGACGGAGTTACGCTTTTTTTTTGCCGCTGTAACGAAAGATCTGGCTGTATCGCTTAAGTTGATTTGAACGAACACATTGTTGTGAACTATTGGTTCACACTGTGCAAACTGCTGCAGCTCGCATCATGACCAACTGTGTGACTTGTAATTCATTTCTCCGCAATTAAATTCGTTTATTGTACAGTGATATGTCTCTACGCCAATCCCAGCACCGCTTCTCTTTGTCGCTTTCGCTGACCATCGATGCTGTGCGCCTATCGACTCGATGCTGTCTTGACGCTGGACGATAAGAACTGATAAGGCTATACTAGCAAGGCACCTTCACCGCCTTCTAAGGGCCTACTACCCAGCAATGTAACTTGAGAAGGAAGGACCTTTCTTCCGGAAGTTCTCCTTCTCGCGCACCTTTGAAATCAACACCTTCAGAGCGCGGAAACAGCATTACGCATGAAAATATTATTTCACACTATGATTTCGGTGGTCAGTTAAATACGTAACACGACTATTCTACTAATATTTTAATAAAGAGTAGTTTTAGATATTTTATCATAAGAAAAGGCGATGGTTATGTCCGTTTGTATAAGTCAATTGTTTTATCAAGACTACTGTACAGTTCTCCAGTCTGGGCGCTTAGAAAGGCATATCAGCCTATCTGAAAGTGTTCAGACACTTCTTCACAGAAGACCTCGATGGTGCAGCTCGTCAAAGGAAACCAGGTGTATTTGCGCTCCATCACTTCAGTCTTGCAGAGACAAAGTGTACGTGCAAAATCTAGCTAGACATCTCGTAAACTTGGGAAGCCAGAATTTCATTCAGCTTTAAATTTCAGATGCGTATGTATGCAGAATGCTTATATGGTAGACACACAAGGAAGTCACCTCCTGCTAATATTGTACACAGTGCTTTGGGCATTGCAGGGGATGAATCTTGCCATGTTACCGCATACTACGCCTACCTTATTGTGAGCTTCCTCTTTGACATGATGAAGATGCATTTGAGTCCTGAATCTTGTTTCATATTTTCTTCGTGGATTAGTAGACCGTATGTTTGTTAACCTTTGTTCACTTCAAAATTCAATTATTTCTGCCATCTAATTTTGTCAGGTAACTTCAAGCTTACCTTTTCTGGTATATTGATTGTATGTTGCATGCAGTTGTGAACGTCAAGCCAAAAGATGACAAATAGGAGTGAATAGTGAGCGTAATAAACACTTCGCGATAGTTTTTCATAGGAATGATTGTAGCATTAAGGCACCTTCAACTCGTATTGTTCATCATAAATTATCAGCAGCAGCAGCATCCATTGCGAAGACTAAGAAAGTACTAGTCGATCGGAAGCATATTTAGTTTAAACATCACTTGTGTTTAACAAATTGACATAGTTTTCTCATTTTGCTGTTGGCTTATTTTTACACTATTTGATTATATAAATTGATTACTCATTAGTTACTTCTACTTATGTTTTATTTTTAGACTTCAAACACAGCATCTTTTCTTCTATATAATATGGCTATAAATCCAGAAGCACAGGAAAGAGCCTACAAGGAGGCTTCGTGCTTAATGGAGGGCCGTCCAAGCAAGGATGTTATAGCCGATGACCTCAACAGAATTCCGTACATCAAGGCTTGCCTAAAAGAATCTCTTCGGTTAGTATGGTTGTTCTATATGAATACTCGAACTCACACACTTAAGCAACTTCCTCATCGTACTGATGCGTATTACATATAGAAATCGTCTGCAATTTAACAGTTGTATTTGTCCTGTTACAATTTTCACCCAACTATTCCTATAAACCTATTGAAATGTTCAAATAACTGTGCGCTATCCAATTTCCTGATCTTAGTAATTATACCTTACTAGTTTTGATTTTTTCCGTTCGCTTGAAACAACTGTTTAGTTACTCTGACTGCGATTTTTTACGCTGCTCTGGTTTTCCTAAGATCTTGTTGTAGTTGTCCCATTTCTCTGTGTCACTCATTCCGTATTTCGATTACCATTAAGCCGTCTTTGTTGTACTACTTTTAACCCATTACCGCGTTGCAGTTGTACCGTTACTTTAACGTGTGTGCCTTTGATGACTGAGATGGTACACTGTTAACTTAGCTGTCTATCAGCCTGAGTCCGCGGTGCGGGTAGCCAAAGATCTTTAGGACGGGCCACATACAACCCGGGTATTTGACTTTCCTATATATGGTAACACATGTCAAGGCAACTCCTTGAGTAGCTTAAGTAACAAGTAACAAGAAACTGAATACTGAGACACTGAATCAAATACAGTGGCAAAAATGGAAAAATCAAAAAAAAAAAAGGAAAATTTGTATTCATTAGGCAGAGCTCAAAGATATAAAAGCTTCTTGAATGGTGAGCCGTTGGAGAAAATCACCTAAAACTGTTTTAAAAAGTTTACATTGGAGTTTATGGAAATGTCCTTTTATTTACATCTTAGCATAAAACTTCCGTAGATGCTGTTCCTACCGTATTTTTGCCGTACAGATGTAACAAACATTGTTAGAGTAGAGAGATATTCTAGATGGCTGACAAGCCGACTGTGGGAGACATCTCATGGGAAATGTTAATCATTTTGACCGTTGGATTATTATTACCATCTATTTCCCAGTCCATAGAAAACATGGATAGTCCACAAATTTTAACACATGAAATAGTTTATGGTTCGGAAACTCTGTGTAGGCCGTATATAAAATTGCATAGCAGAAGCATTATAACTAATCAACTGGCAAATATCTAGCTGTACATATTTCAAATCAGCATATGGCGAACGAACACAACTGTAAATAGGGTTCTCGCTCGTCATATTTAATTAGAAGATACGTCGACTAAGCGACGTAAAGTATTCAATTAATGGAAGTATCCCATAGATTAGAAACTAGCAGTAGTTATTGGTCAACCAAAGAGCAGCCCATGGAAAATTTTCCTAACATATTTTTTCTTAGTGATATGTTAGAAGTCTACGCCGCGTATACTAACAGGATGATTATTAAGAAGTCTATAGAACAGAACAGCGCCCATTAAATGTGTTACAACAGTTGTTCTTGTTACAAGGGGCAAGTAACAGAGCGCAAGATCCACTGTGAATACAAGTTACAGCACTGTAATCGATAAAAAGGGGGAAGGACAAACAATGTCACTCAAAGTGGAAACGCGTCTCAAAGAGGTACCTAAAAATACTGTTTGACACTTGCTCCTAGAGTTTTATAGTTGCTGTTTGCGGTTCCTATATTTCAAGGCGAGCTACAAAAAACCCAAGAGATCTTAGAAATAAACAGTGGGTGATAATAAGTCCAATAATTAGGTATCCGTCACAAATGCAAAAATGTAAATTTAAAAATATCAGTTCTCAAACGGTTGAATATATATTGCCATATAAAGTTTTCTTCAATAAACTTCTTAGTTAAAAAGAAAAACTAATTTAATTCATGTAACAGTTTTTTGATTATTTTGGGTTTTTAAATAACGTTGGTTAAATCTGACTACTACTTTTCTAAACCTACTCGGCGTATAATTTGTTTTATTTATTTATAAAGTATACTAATTCATACTGCAATGTTTATCAATGTAAATATTCCAAGTACTTCTTTTGATTAAAAGAAATATTTGTATGGCAACGGTATGATATGAATATTTATCGAGAAGATCATTTTAAGTAAGCAGACGTTTATCAGTATTTCAATGGTAAATATTTTTTTGTAAATATGCACAAAAGCCAAAGATGACTTTTTTAGCAGATTTTGCCATTAATATTCGTCATAACGCCAACGTAGGTAAAAAAAACCTAATACTTTAATAGCCCGATAGTAACGACTTCGCCAGTGAGAGCGCGTTCTCTTATTTAAATTTTAAAAATCTAGTGACAAAGATCCGTCTTCCTTCGCGAAAAAAAGCTTGTGGCATTTTTGAGCGCTATAGCATTTAAAAATCCGAGTGGATAAGTCTCTGAGCATTGAATATATCGGTAAGTTAAGCTATAATACGTTCTCCTGTAAATCTCACGGTTACTAGATCAACGGAAAAACCATTACGTAATCGTTCTATAGGTAGTAGGTATTTACTTGCCAGTTACTTGAACTTTCTGCAAAAATCTGTTGTACCATGCACTTGGAGTAACCTTGGTGAGGATGGCGAATTTTATTTCCAATAGGATAGAGAACCTGAATACTATCATCGTGATGTAAGACACATATCTTAATGAGAACCTTTCAAACAGTTAGGATGGATAAAGAACAGCCATGAAGTACCCTGCCCGTTCCCAATGGATTTTTCTTGTAAAGACATGAACATAAAGCCTATGCCAAAAAATGATTACGTTGGAAGATATAAAGCCGATATTGAGCAAGACTGCGGCATAGGCCCAAATTAAATGGCTGTTAACGTTGGTAAATTAATAACCTCATCGTTATCAGCAGTGTATTGACCATGAGAGTAGTGATTTTAAATATCTGCAGTAAGAAAATAAAAATTTAGGTTATGATAATTAAAATTGTGCGATGTTTTTTTGGGACACCCTGTATATATCCAGAATGGTGACTTTCAAGGAAAGAGCAAGCTTGATCCCATGATATATACTGCGTCGATTATATCGCTGAGTGCTTGACAAGGCCTCCGGGTAAAATTTAGAATTTAGCTATGTTTCGCATCGCATGCACTTTATAGGCTTTCTTTTCATAAAACCAATTCAACGGTTTTCTAACAAACGTAAGTAGATCTTATATTGTAATATATGTAAACATATATCGTTTGCGTGGGTCCCGTTGTTTCCTAACCCTTTTTGCCGCCACAGGGAAGTAAAATACTGCTCTGGCTGTCCCTACCATAGCCAGTAACGTCAATGGACGTGAGCTTTATGCTGCGTGTGATATTGTCTTCCTGCACGCGGCATCTCATCACTCATTTCTATACCCACCCACGGAAAACTTCAAAAATAAATACAGCGGAGTCGGCGGTCATGCTCGCGGGTGAATCGAGGATAAATTAGTCAAAACGGACACACTCACTCAAGAGTTCATAGCTAAAAAGAACTAAAACTCTGCTTGTATGAGCTTGTTACTGGGGGCGAAAGAGAAATCCTTTGCCCCGGACAGACCGAACACGCTACAAAGTGATCTTGGTGTATTATCAACTCTGTACTTTATATGGCTTTAACGGCCCGCGTACCTCCAGCGGCCTTGATCTAAAAGAGCCTCGAAATTGTTCCATCGACTTAGCGGTCCAAATACTGGGCGTAAACTAGAAACATCGATTCATTTAGAAAACAACGATTCAAAATAAACTTGAAAAGATAAAAGGAAGTCGGGAAATATCCATTTATTGACTAGAAAGTGGAGTAGTGTTAATATGATTAAGTTAATTTTCCGAATGATAAAAAGCAGTAGCACTGAGAGTCAGCAGGAAAACCATAGGTTGACTTGGTAGAATATTTCAAATGAATGCTGTTAACCGTAAGAGTGATAGAACGATTTAGGTAATCATATGTCAATCAGATACATCCGCATAAACTATTTGTTAACATGTGAATGTACCGTTTTAATAGGATATCTATGAATACTATGAGTTCCTAGATGTATGTTCCGCTGCCTCAAAAGGGTATTAATTGATGCAGAAAAAGGATTGTGTCGTAATTTATTGATAAAATCAACCGTGACATTACTTGGTTAATCCAATATTACAGCTTATTTCCGTCGATTACTGGGGTTTACCGTAAGTTTGACAAGGATGTTACCATGTCAGGATATTGTATTCCCAAAGGGACTGTGGTGTTCGCAAACTTTTATATCACTGGTCGCAATTCATCACACTTTGTTGATCCTGAGCATTTCCGGCCAGAACGCTGGATGAATAAGACCGACAGCCACGCTTACGCCTCTCTTCCCTTCAGCTTTGGGCCTCGTATGTGCCTTGGACGGAGAGTTGCTGAACTTGAGCTGTGGACGTTAATGATCAAGGTTAGTGCTAAGTAATAAACAAATTTTTATTTGTACTGACTATGACCCTTTCACTATTCTCAAGTAATAAGTAATTTATTTCAAGTTTTGATTAGTAATCATTACGCAAGTCTATTTCATACTCTTCCTGTTCTATTTAGAGCCATGCATAAACTCATAGATGCTGCTGCGTTTAAATCAAGTAATCCTAGAGCTCATTCTATCCGACTCGAAAGCAAACTCCAGGATCGCTCAGAATGTGGTTATGGCAATGAGGTTCAGCATATGGCTAGAACCTATAAAAGATTTTTTAAATGCTTTACCACGAATTCAAGTTTTATTTGGTATGGAAGTTTCGCATAATGTAATCGTTAGGCCAACTCTACTTGCCAAATATAATTCCAATCTATGTATGTACGTTTTCGAGGTGACCCGAACGGTATATAGGGGTAAGAGAAGCTACATGGAACAGGGGCTAGATAAGCGATTCAGTTCCTTTCTAGCAAGTAAGCATTGATTTAAAATTTTCGTATTATTAAAATTTTAGAAGTTTTGAGGTGAACCCGAATCAGAAACTTCGCACAATTCGCGTTATTGGATATTTCTTTTAACCAAACTTCAAGAGTGGGTGACACATGAGACATCTGTTTTTTTGCATTTTGTCGAATTTTTATTGATCGATAAACACGCAAACTAATTATCTCGTTTTTTTTTTAATAGTTTTGCGTATTTTTAAAGGCATTACATTGAGTTACGACACACCATTGCCCTGAGGGCCATAAGGTATCATAGTCCTCATTCTCACATTTTGTTGACGCAAATAGCAGTACATGTGGTTTATTTTTAAGAAATTTCGGCAATTATATTGCAATGTAAATGTATATACTATAGTTGTTATCATTCGGACAACATTGTTCACATTTACGCTACGTTGGTTACAGTTTTGATTATAGATCATTATGGGTAATTATTTAAACGAAAACTATGTATAACCACGATATTTGTATATATTTCAATGTAGTCAAATTGACTTTGGACAATCCTTTGCACATTGGGATTGTTCCTTATCCATACTAAAACAAAATGCAACTCGTGAATGCGTCAGTATTTAAACTAGCTGAATACTGGTTCGCACACATGGGAGAACTCCGTGCGAGCCTACGGTCTATAAACCATTTTTCAAAATCTGAACAACTTCTTAATGGAAAAATTATTCAAATCTCATCAGCATGTCGAAATTGTTTTGTGAGATTTCGTAAACTTTCGTATTTCAACCTTCTACAGCAGCAAAATAAATAAGTTACCATGTAAATGGCAGAAAATGATAGTTAGTGGCAACGCATGCTTCCAATGAACAAAATACCTAAGCCTTTAAAAAATTTCAACTAGTGTCTTATTGACGCCATTTCGAACGACCAATACAAAGAAAATCAACCAAAATAACTTTAAACTCTTTTCGCGTTTGCTATAATTCATGCGATCAAATGTAGCAGACGAGCTGAATCTGACAAAATACGATTTAGTAAAGTGATTAAGGTAAAATTATGTAGTACAAGTAACAAGTTACACCTATAGAAAGCTATTAAGGTGCCAAAAATGTGAAAGAACTTTATGTATCTATCTATAAATTATGGTATTAGTAACGAGATAGGCAAGCAGTCAATTTAAGTACACGTTTAGTCGTTCCCGTTTTTACTGGCAGCCATCTGCTCATTTTAAAATGCATTATAGTTGTTATTATCATTACTATAAAATATATTTGTGTATCTTTTCGTCCGGTTAATTTTTTTTTAGTTGATGCTTAATTTTCGGCTGGAATATAAAGGGCCTCCCCTTGACTTCAGAGGAAAACTCGTCAACACACCGGATCGAGACTTGAACATTATCTTCAATCCAAGGAACTGAGTTGCCGCTATAGTAGTACTAAATAAATAGCACTCCAATCATGAAAACCCGATGCTTTTAGCTAGATGAACAATACTCATTTTAAAATTAAGTACCTAATGTAGCAACAAAAAATTGCATTAATAGTTTAAAAGCAGACAAGGTCTTTAATTTTTAAAGGGAATTCATGATCAACAGGCTTGCAATGGCCACTCTTGCTGCAATTTAATACAAAAGCTGTACAAGGAAAACATGAGAGCTGTGCAATACAAACGCACTTCCATTCAAGAGACTGTGGAAGAACTGTGAATTGTTAAGTACCTTAGTAGCTCAGGCGTACAGCCAAGTATTTTAGATTTTCGCTCTTAACTAAGGCCCTTAGGTAATAAGTTGAAATGGCACGAAAGGGCCTTGATCGAAACTGTGCAATAAAGACCGCATCTTTTATTAAAAAAAAAAAACGTTAGCCAAGGATTATAGGTATTTAACGAAGAATACTCAACCAGTAGAAAATTGTATGAGAATCAAGAACTCGCCTACGCTTGCTTAGGCTAGGGATCTAGTATGCATAACGACGATTGCGTTTTAAAATGGGTTAGCTGCTGATGTAAATCATGGACGAGCCTTCAAATACAGATCCTGCGCGCTTGAAGATAGGGTACAACTGACGTGGCCATCTATCATTCAGGTGAGACGATTTTAAGACTGATCGCTGACAAAAGATATATGAGAATGTCCTTTACCTTTGGACAACTATATTATCTAAAACGAACGCGGCCGATTTACCGAAATAAACTTTATTTATATGCGTGGATATGTTTATTAAAAGGTACATTAAAAACAACTGCGTCTGAGTTGTAAAATCCAGTAGAACAGAGAAACCTTCAAAATGCGCATTGTATATTTACATAGATATAATAAATGTGCTTTAACGATAGTTTTTGGAACGATAATTCCGAGTCTTTTATTTTGACTTTAGTACTATTAATCAGTCCTGTAATCCAATGTGAGACCTTAACGAGTTTGAGTTCATAAACCTCATATTATATAAAATGCGTTCTGTTATTCAAGTGCAGCCTTCAGCACTCAAGTCTAGTGTATAAGAGAAGGCGTATTGGTGTTAACGTCCTCACGAGTATGCGATTCAGCGAATGTCTGTTTGTGTCAATGACTGAGAAAAAAAATACCCCAAATTCTTTAAGTTAAGGTAAGCACTTCTAGTTTCAGACAGGAACAAACAATTGTATTAATAAAATAAAATTTAAATTACTTCCAAAGGGTATTGTCTTTATACTACCTATCTTAGTCTATATCTTGTAAATAGATTGCATGCGATCAGTTTAAGTAGCATTTCTTTCTGTAGATATCTATTGGTCAGGTGTTAAGATTTATTTAGAAAAAGTTTAAGCGAAGGCAAACGTAGAAAATGTATATATATTAAAATTACATGGGGGTCTAATTCAGAGAAGAGTACAATAGATACGGACAAGAAAGCTAGTTTGATTCTAATGTAGGGTTGATTAGTAGAACCAAGGCAGGAAATATTTTGTCCAAAAGGTCTTCACGACGAGAAAAGTAGAGTAGGACGTTCTGTCGGTACAACATATTCGAGCAAAACCTAAAGCGGCGCGCATAAGAACTTAAATTTCGGCTGCCAAGAAGTCACCTAATATTTTCCAAGGTATTTTGAAGTAATCGGCTTCAGTGTTGAACAAGTTCGGTAAATGCATAGAATGGGATATTACTCCAGTCTGCACAGTAAAATATCATATGTTGTAAAAGTTTTCTCAAAAGGGATGTACAACCCAATTAACAGAAGAAATATAATAATGACGACAATTTGACAAGTTCGATTCGAGTACGAGAAATAAAAATACAAAAAGACTAGCAAGCCTAGACCACTTTCGTGTATTCTTGAAGTCCCAGCTATAACTATATAATCACTTAAAAATTCCTGGAAAATATGACATAAAGTAGTCGACTAACTAACTTATTATATGTAACATTATTTGGAAGTGGGAGGTACTAGGGTAAGTTTCACTCGAAACACTCGGAAACGTGCATAGGTATTAGGTTTGAACATACGTATTAAGGCAAGGAATGACCTTGCTTCGTCTGTTAGGTTCTGTCCGTAATGCAACTGGAGCATACAAGTTTTTCTTGACTGTCTTGTTCTTCCCAAGCCCTTGTCAGCGACCCTTTAAGTCAATAAAAATCATATTTTTTTCTATTTTGTAACTTTAAAAGTCTAAGCTAATGCGTATCGTTATCTATTTATTCCTCTGCTTTATGACGACCACAAAAGTGTTAAAAGCTAAAAAGATGGCACACCTCGCTGCGTTCTTCACTCGGTCTAAGAAACAACCAGGTTCCTCATTTTTGAATAAATCCTATAGATTCAAGATATCTTCTAATAGTCCTACAATTGCCGTTCAGCTTATCGCCGACTCACGAGTTGTTTTCCGGCCGCTATTCTTTAAAACTGCTTTTAGGTGGTCCGCTTCGATATCGAACGCCCGACCTATGTATCCTATTTTGATGTCTCTAAACTTCCTCAATCACCTCTGAGCAGTCCTTTCAAATACAGAGTCCGTCCCGTATAGGCATAAATATTCCAGGCTGCTTTGGCAGCTGTCCGATATTCGCGAAAGGCGAAATAGAGCACGTGGCGTAAACGTGATTTACTTTCACGGAGAACATCTGCTTTGGAAGCCGAGCTCGAGGCAAAACTCCATTCACTGCACAACGAAATTCACAGCACCTTCCAACAATTTATAAAAATCAACAAACAGAAGAGGTAAAAGAGAAAAGAATTATTTATAATAAAAGCATCAGTACAAACAATATACAGGTTCATAATAATGTATAATAATAGTAGTAATCCTAATAATAATATACAGTACCTAATATAACAGAAGGCACGGAATAGTTTATAGGCTGAATCTTTAAAATAATCTGCGTCCAAACTTATAATTGCTTTAATAAGCAAAGCTTATTTCACCAAACATTGGGATCTTAACACAACTAAGCTAGATATGGAAATGGAAGCACAACTTCCAAGGCACCTTTAGCTATACTTAAGAAGAGTTTAATAGTTTTACTGCTGTCACTAAAGACAGTGATTTAGACAACACGGTAGGCTCAAATTGTTTACACTCGCCCTGAACCAACACTAGGAGCAGTAATCTTTGTAGCTTTTGATTGTAGTACCCACTGCGTGTCGATATACAATAATATAACTTTTATTCTTTATAATTTTTCTGCATCCGCTGAGATTTTGTTGCGTTCTGACGGCGTTAATACTTGCGAGCATTCCCAGACTTAACCGAAAATACATAGTCAATATTCTTTTTTCTTGGCTGGCTTCGAACCTTATTCCACTGATTCTACATACCATTATGCAATCACACATCAACGCCGTGTTTTCCTAAGGGTTCAGGCTTGCGGCCACATAATGACTCATTCAGCTACGCAATCCCCATGTCCACAATATTGACAAACCAACAATCGGCGAATAGAAACCGGCGAAAAACGGACAGATTAAAAAACACTAGAAGCTTCTTCGGATTCACGTTTCTCACGTAGAATACATGCAATACTCGATAAACTTCACGTAGTACTTCAAACTAATTGCAAATATCGTGCAAGCGTTTTTCTTTCTACTTCCTTGAGCGTTAGTCTTTCGAGACCATTTAAGGCAAGTGTCACGACTTATGTTTTTATAGACGTCCTACATATCTTGATAAGTATAGGTCCTGATCGTTCCTCGATTTGGCTTTGACAGTTCCGCGAACAATGGCTTTGACAAGAACTAAAATGGCTAGATTTTTTTATTCGTTTACCTACTCATATTTTTTCCTCCGTTGGATGGACAACCTGTCAGCTGCGAGTTACGTTAAAGCACTGGAGATATATACGTATTTTAATTTAGTCCTGCGCACACGGGGCCTGCTACAAGGCTGTTTCTCTTTCAGAACTTTCCGGCTGCCGTTTTTTACAGGTTTATATTCAGCCCAATTTTCTCCCTATAGCTTATCGAGGCTTGCTGCACCCAGAATCTGGAAGTTTAATAGATATCGCGATCTTTAGCAATTGTAGACTGCGCGAGCTCTCGAAAGCCTACTGCTAACTTTGGTGGGTCTCATAAGAGAAAAAAGAATCCCATAAGATTTACATTGTCTATCTTGATCGTTTATATGAAAAGCTCTGAATCGGCAACACCAAAACAAGAGTTCAATGATATCGTTCGGTACTTTCGTTGTGGCCAGTGTAGTATCAATCTTTTGTCTACAAGCAGAATTGAACGCTCAACGGAAGTCTACGGAAATGGTGCAGACATACCTCTGGGGTCCTGGCAGCACACGTCGGATGTAACCTAGAAGTTGTAACTGCGTACTCTGTACCGCTACTATGTAAGTACGGAACCTGTACTATTCATTTGGAATATTAAACGATCGGTGATTGTTATGAATCGGCAAATAAACACTGTTGAACAACAACAATTCAGCTTCGCACTGCTTTGCCACGAAATTGGTAATGAAAGGTTTCCCTTATTGCTCGAGACCGTTCAGAAGGAGAGTGTCGCGCCATTCCGACCGCATGCTACTAGCACGAAAACAGGAGTTGAATAAGATTGTCCAACATGGAGTATATTTAAAAGAACTTTCATTATGTCTCGCATACCATCTGCTTTAAAGGTTTTGTTAGATATCAGTTGTTAAATGACAATCACAGCCCCCTCTGTATTGTTTCACCAAACCACCGCTTGTTGCTTCTCGTCAAATAAGCAAAACGCTGCGCGTATATAAATGTGAACATTTGTCAGAAGCGCAGTTGCCAATTAAACAGGATCAGTTACCTACATTTTACGAGGCCATTCCACAGCGGCTTCGATTGCATTATTGTTGGATTCTTCATCTTTTTGACGCTACGATGTGTACGTTTTTGGACACCAGTATTCCAACCGGGCTGATGTTGGTCGTAAATTAGGTGCCACTTCTATGAAGGTAGCATTGTGCTTTCCGCACGATAAACCCCCAATGAAGCCGAGGCTGATCCGTCTGTGATCGAATATGAGCAAATGAAAACACCATGGCTTCGGAAAGGCTCTTCGCATAACGGCCCAGGCCAGGCTACCGCGGAGAGAAAAAAAAGAAACACGCTTTTTCTGTTTGTTTTCGAAATAAATATTCTAGGTCACTTTTTAAACACCATTATATAGTAGTAGTTGCTTTTCTCATTATGCATAGTTCGAAGGATACATGTAATAATCCACACACTAATTGTTGGATAATTTATCGTCTTAATATGTCCTATTGTGTTTCACAATACGGTAGACTACTACGCGTGTATGCTATACAGGTAGGATGAACCCGACGTGGTTTTTTCGTGATCCTCACGTACAGCATACCTGAAACACAAAACAAAGTTGCTTTAATCAAAGAATATTTTCTCATCTTTGAACTGCGCTGTTTTAATAAGTAGCATTTTTCTATATAAAGTTACGTTAAATAACGTAAAATCTTAACTAAACGTTCTTGAACGTTTGAAGACTTGAACTTGCCAGTACAACACTATAAGCACCTAAGACAATTATTAAAGCTAAGCTGCATTTCGCCTACGAGCTTGTATCGTGCAATTTTCGCTCGACTCTCTTGTATAGAGAAACTTCTACTGCCAGAAGCATTGACGGGGAACATTAGGTATTGCTTAGGGAGCAAACGCTGACGCCAAAGCCAAGTAATAAACAAATTCAGGCTATTCAGGCACATTTTGGTGAACCTGGTGAGGCTGAGTGCGAATCATGTTGAATGTCGGCCCTGAGTAGCCTGGGCCCAAACCTTCCAATGTCACACAGCGCTGAGCAATGCTTATGAGCATGTTTCACGGAATTTACACAAATGCGAAACGCAATTTTTTCCTAAATTTGTGAAAAGTAAATGGAACGTTTTTCCTCCCCCACCTGTCAACAGACCATGGGCAGTATTTTCTGTAAGCATAGCAATTAATACAGGAATACAGAGAAGTCTATAAACTGCTCACAACAATTTTTACGCAGTCACCCTTTCTTACGCTTCACGAACTTTAGCTAAGATATTTTCATGACTACATAAATGACACGTGGCCTTATTAATTCAAGTTGAGTCAGATTTACGATATTACAGATTAAATTGCTTAAATTCTCAAAAGCCCTATGAAAGAAATACGTATGACACACACTGTTTTACAACACAAAATACGAAACATATCACAAATTAATGGCGAGCGTTGAGGCCTCTTCGCCAAACAGAAAAAATTTATCCACAGGCGCGCTTTGCATCATCTTTTGCTTGCAGGTTTCCGCGTATATATATACTACACATATATTTTTAGAATATATTTTACTAAACTTGATTCTGATAAATGCTATAGTAAACGATTGTTATCTACCAATGCCTTTGTAATAAAACATTGACCCTTGGCTCTCAAGATATTTGCACGAGGAAGCTCAACTTTATAAAATTGTCACGATTGCACGCCATGCTATATTGAAACTGAACATGATTACCGAGGTTCTATGGACGGCTCTGATGTACAAAAACAAATAATTTTCGAGGCCTTTGCGTATATTTGAGCCACTCTATTCAAGGCATTCCATTAACTACAGGAGATTGGTCTTTGCATGACATTCCCCTGACCTAATGCAATAAGAAAAAATCATTTGTCATATATTTACTCTGCTGTAAATGATTGGCGGCCAATTCCCTATGTAGACCGAAAGGCGCCTATCTACGAACATTTTAAGGCTGGTCCCCGCTTGATGGCGTTGCCTATCCATTCTAATTTATTTTGCACATCTCTCCAATTATTTTATGCGCGTATAACGATAAATGGGCCAAAGTAAAGATACAGAGGAAAAAATGAACGTTTCTAAAGTGGTTGTTCAGGGTAGTTTTTGACTGCTGATTCAACGGTTGAACTCTATTCACAGCTCGTTCTCGTCAAGAACCGATCGTCATAAGTCGACAAACGCCTTCTTACCGCTTGCGTAATGATAAAACAGTGCGTGCCTCGTGTTTTTCACCTTTTACAAAGTATCCACCTACTCCGTTAACTTCCTTGCTTTAACTAAACAACGAAAGGAGCACGAAAAGGGTAAAGCTATTAAACACACTTGAGAAGGTACATAGCCAGTAAAACCCAAAAGCTGTTCTAACATACAAACAACATTCACTCATGATGGCACAGTAGAATAATATTGGTTCATTATCAACCAAAGAATATAGCGGCAAACCTTTCCGCTATTAAATATACTGTAAAGGACTAACTAACGCAGCAGATTTTGTTGGAGAAATTGATGCGTAGAATCCGCCGAGAAGGCAGATTCTCTAAGAGAGGTAAGTAAGAGGCGTTTCGTGAGTTTCTGCTATTAATACGCTAAATACATGGTAAGCATTCCGACAAATTTAGCTTAAACATAATTTGTGATATAATACAAAATTAGTTCAGATTTAGGAATCGAGTGCATCATTCTTTGTTAAGTACGATTTTTATTAGTAATAGTAGGCAAATTATAGAATTTAAGCTCTTTTGGGTATCAGTTTCTAATAATTAATTTCGAAATCATGCCATAATCGTCTGAAACATAAAAATGAAATGAAGGCACTGTTGAGAGCTACTGAGGTAGGGTAACGTAGTTGTGTGGTACTACGTTGGTGTGGTCCAAGTTCGAATTTAGGGGTCTCATGAAATCCCTAGCGGCGGTGCCGGACTTAAAACTCAAAATATTTAGTTGTAGGCACTCCGGAGACACTAATGCTATTTGTACTAAAAGTATTATTTTTTTGTAGGTTGTTGCGAGCATCGCGACATCAGACACGATATTGTGGGCGAAACTTAATAGGGAGATCGTCTGCTTGCTGTGAATCTGCGTTTGCGTGCATTAAAAAGTACCCAGATCAAACCTAAGGTCACCTCTAATATAGGCCCTGGTATATTCATAACAACCATTTACAACTATGTTAGCGTGTTCTCAAATAGCGTTAAACATCAATATAACTCAAAATAAAGCATCTTCAAAACGAATGAACGCGGTTACTAGTGAAGAAATCTGCTCCAGCATTTAGGATATGTAATTTGTCGAATGAACAGTTGTAAAAATACGGCAACGTCCACTGTAAAGTACTGTGAGGCCACTACTTTTGCTGTTCTGTGAGCATTCCTTCAGTCAATAAATGGGTGCCGCAGCTTTCCGTTTTGCCATGAGAGTTAGCTCCGGTGTTATACGCGGACCGAGATTGGAATCCATTAGGTAAAAATGTTAGCAATTTTGCAAGCCAAACTCGCCACTACACCCACCAATTGAAAAATAAAGATTGTAAGCTACAAGCGCTGGCCATCTACGACAAAAAATATCTGTAGAAGAAACTGTACGATAAGGATCTAGCACGACTGGAAAGGTGAAAGCACCAGTTTTTCTCAGGACCAAATTAAGAGAATTTGAGTTCAAGGAGCTTTGATAACTATTTCATTCGTGTGAGACATAGTAATCACTTCAATCAGTTAAGCACTGCGAATAATTTTTACCTTTGAAACCGATTCGATAATAGTGGTAAAGTAGTACCCTATATGAACGCTTATTTTAGATCCCAAAGAGTAAGCTGTTATTATCTTACATCGCGATACATACTGAAGAAGCCGCTGTGTAGGTGCATTTTGCTTCCGAAAAATTAACAAATAACATAGTACTATTAGGTTTAGCGGGCGTTTATTTCTGTTCAGCTCGAATATCTAAAAAATGACAATATTAGTGGAATAACAGATAACGCATATAAAATAGTTGCCCAAATATGCTTTTGTAATAGTTTATATAGAAATGACACCAGTTCTAAACTGTTTCTACTAATTCTGCCAGAATGGCTTTGCCTTTAGCAATGCTGTTCATTATGTATGAAGCAATGAACGACTGGACCATCGATCTATAACCATCCACATTTTACCTCCATTTCTAAGTATAAGTGGATATATTACCGGACTTATAAATGATGAGTTCCATCTCGGAAAGTCTACAGTGTCAATTTAGCTCGAGGGAGACGACTGTCTGTAAGAAGACTGCCCATTACTTCAAGCATACAAAAAACCGTATATATGATTGTGGAAAACGCCAAAAGTGAGGACACCAAGTCTCGTATATTCGAAATCCCTGAAAGAACACTTTTAAAGTATACATTGCCCACCACCATACTTCAGAACGCCCCATTATATCTCAGCCTGCCTTCTTGAAAGGAATTATACTACGGAGAACCGACTTATTTGTCTTATACATGCTGCCTTTCGTCGAAAGGCTTTGGAAGCAATACACAGCGTCAGAATAAACAGAAAATTGCAGTTTCTAAGATTGTATGAAAAACGCGATCTCGGTTCTGAGTTTTTATAAACACCGGATCAGTAATGAACACGAATTGGAAGGATATGGCTAAATGAGCGAACCGCCGTTTGCATAGTGAGTAGACACGCAATCCATGGGTTTTGAAACATTTTTTTGCAGAATAAAATAAGAGGCGGGCATGAATTTGTCTTTTCACTCAGATACTCCAGAATGGAAAAATAAAGCGAGTTTCTATTCTTACATTACGTTAATCCGCAGATTTACCTTGCACTAGATAGAAAAAACAGCTTCACCCAATTGTCCCTTCACCAACCGCCTACATAACTGGATCCGTTTTGAGTATTTTCAAATCATGTTTCTGAGCAACCCAGCAACAAATTTATCAATCACTTCCTTATCTCAATGTTTAATTTATGTCATGCATTGTTCGATACACACTGTCCTTCACATTGGCCCACAGCTTCAAAATGCGTCACAAAGTTATACTCTAAGTTAAAAGCGCAACCTCGTATCAAAACAGTTCGACGGGCGTCCATATGTTGATGACCTGTGCATGGTCTTCCCGGCCTTACTTTGTCTGAGAATTTCCTGGTCGATCGTCTCAGTATTACCTTCGTCAGCAAGAAGTATCAGTCTCAAGCGACACCTTCAGAGTACAGCTTAGCTCATTATTTGTTTCGAGAATAGATTTGTACAAGAAACAAACGCTGTTACAAACTTTCCACCATTGCAAACCACAAATGCTGCTATGTTTGCCGCGTGATAAATTGAAAAGGCGGGTGATAGGGACAGAACGGAATACAGACATTTTGCCTTCCCTATAGCTATAGCACTTACACATATATTAACACCACAAAGCTATAACAATATTATAGGAATTGGAAAAATGGTATTAAGGTGCCTCTGTTACAAGTGTGTTACGTGTGCTTTTTATTGTAAGAATTACTCCTGCTACCTTAGCAGGTGTGTAATAAAGAGATCATACTGTCTAAAGACTACTGGCTCATTACATATTATAAATAAGTTTGAGTGTTTGCCTAAGAAACTTAGAGATACATGATAACTGGTCTAGGTTCAAATCCAGTCGATCTTTCGAGATCATTTGTATAGAACCCTACTCTGATAGGTGGTTCTTAAAGCAACGATGAAACAGCGTAACCAAGGTCCGTTCATAAAGAAAATCAGGCTAAAAAGAAATAGCTATGAAAAGCTTTTTCGGGTCCAAAGTCAATTAAGGATTTGGACAGTTGTCTTATTTGTAGATGATCCGGCTCTATGCGAAAAAAACATCTACAATAAGTACTTGAAATATTAAAACAGTATGACAAATGGAATTTTATACACGCGTTAAAAACATTTACCCTTAATTTCAGAATTGGGAATAGACTTCTTCGAGCAGATGAGCTAAAGTTGCAGTCATTTAAAGGTCCTTTTGCTACTCAATAACGTGGCTCTCGGCAACCCCGTAGCTTAGCGGGTTCTATGGTAATCCTTTAAAATATAAAACACCTTATTTGTTTTCCCTCTACACTACTTTCGATTTTTTCGGTGTCAAGACAGCTAAAATTAGTTCCTACGATGTGGATTTCATGTAAAATTAAGTACACTAGAGGGGTTTTTAGGAACTGGACAGAATGAAAATAGCTTTTTTAACTTGAAAGTGTGGCGGTACCGGGGAGGGTAGGGCAATGTCTCACAACCTGCGAAAACTACACATGGGGAAGGATCCAATCCTGTGAAACGCGACCAGGAGTTTATTAAGCATTTATTTCTCAGAAATATTTAGTTAGCGCTAGACGGCGCTATGGGTCTTTAGCAGTGTATAACACCGTAAGCATCTCCCTGTCTTAATGATCTTAAATACCAAGCCTTCTTTTATTTTTAGTGGTGACTGTAAAATCACGATTTATTGGCTAAAAAACCGAAAGTAGCATTCTTTTACTAGTTGCCACGTAGGCATCGCCGATACATCACATTAACTGTAAGTCTCCATAAACGGTATAACTATTACCTCACCGACTTTTTAGGGCAGTTTATTAGTCTTAAAGGAAAAACCATTTGATTGGAGCGGAGCCGAGCTATTTGGGGACCATTCTTGGCTACGACCATATGAAATTACAGCGTTTTAGAGCCTACTTTTTTTAGCTATAAATCCGACAGATGGCTGATTAGTTCTTCTTTCAACCGGAACAACACAGAGCATACTAAACCCAATAAAATTATAAAAATACTAAGGTATGTCAGAGTCCACCAAGGCATGCTTTGTTGACTACCTGTTCAGCCTGCTGCCAGCTCGGCCAAGGACCTAGGCTAGGTCATACCGTCTTCAAGAGCAGCTCAAACCAAGTAGAATTTGCGGAAAAAAGTATGACTCCCCGTTTAGTTCAAGCAGCAACAATGCTGGTCCAGGGTGGAAAAGTTAAATCCCACAGGGGAGCGTGTGAGCGCAACAACATCGATAGAGAAACGTTGAGCGTCCCCAACTCAGCACTTGGAGGAGAGAAACCTTTCGACGAACTTATTGCAACCAGGCCATACACGATTAGTCCAATCGCTTCCCTGCGTAAGAAGTTGTGCTTTCCTGACAGAAATTATAACAAGGTACACTCAAAATCTAGTTTTTGCGGTAATCCAGCCTCAAAGTATGTTATCTCATTAGAAAGGCTCCATTAATAACGAGTCTTTACTATGGCGTTTCGAAAAAGTTGAATCGTTAGGGTCACAATGCCTCCTTGACTCATACATTGCATCAGTGTATCGAGCGCCAATCCAGAGTTCCAAGATAGAATGTGATGGACACAATGTGCGACAACTAGACTTTGCTTTGCATTTTATCTGCACTTGTGCGTTAAGTTACCGAATTTATCAAGGGTGTTTTTCAATTATAAGGGAAAATTTGTTTGCAGAAGTGGTTTGATTCTCACCGAATCTTCGGAAAGAGACATTTTTGAGAGAGGGAGACGAAGACAAAAGACTTT